TCCCCCCAAAAGCCCCCCCAAATCCCCCAAACTCCCCTAAATCCCCCCCAAAATCCCCCCAAATCCCCTCCTCCTGCTCCACCACGAACCCTGGGGGGAAAACGGGTCTGAAATGGTCCCAAAATCCCCCCAAAATCACCCAAATCCCAAATCCTGGATTCCTAAATCCCCAAATTCCCAGCCCAGCCCCCTCCCCAAAGCCCCCCAAAGCCCCCAGACCCCTCCAGGACTCCATCCCTGAGCTCCCTCCTGGCTTTTCCAGACCCCCTGGGACCCCCCCAAATTCCCCAAATGCCCCAAATTCCCCCAATTCCCACCCCAAACCCTTCCCCAGGACCCCCCAGGACCCCCCGGGACCCCCCGGGACCCCCCCAAATTCCCCAAATTTCCCCAATTCCCCCAATTCCCAGCCCAAACCCCTCCCCGGGACCCCCCGGGACCCCCGGGACCCCCCCTCACTCTCCACGGGGCTGTTGTGATCCTCGCCCGGGGTCCAGCTCAGCCGGACCTGGCGCTCTCCGACCTCCAGAACCTGCAGGTCCCGCACGGGGCCCGGCCGGCCTGGGAAACGGGGAGAAACGGTGGGAAAACGGGAAAAAACGAGGAGAAACAGTGGGAAAACGGGAAAAAAAGGGGAGAAACGGTGGGAAAACGGGAAAAAACGAGGAGAAACAGTGGGAAAACGGGAAAAAAAGGGGAGAAACGGTGGGAAAACGGGAAAAAACGAGGAGAAACAGTGGGAAAACGGGAAAAAAAGGGGAGAAACGGTGGGAAAACGGGAAAAAACGAGGAGAAACAGTGGGAAAACGGGAAAAAAAGGGGAGAAACGGTGGGAAAACGGGAAAAAACGGGGAGAAATGGTGGGAAAATGGGAAAAATCGGGAGAAATGGTGGGAAAACGGGAAAAACGGTGGGAAAACGGGAAAAAACGGGAAAAAAACAGGGAAAAATAGGGAAAAAATGGGGAAAAACGGGGAGAAACAGTAGGAAAATGGAAAAAGTGGGGAAAAGTGGTGGGAAAAATGGGAAAAATGGGGAGAAATGGTGGGGAAATGGGAAAAGCGGTTGAAAAAGTGATGGGAAAAATGGGAAAAGGGGGGGAAAAATGGGGAAAGTGATGGAAAAATGGGAAAAGTGGTGGAAAAATGGGAAAAGTGGTGGAAAAATGGGAAAAGTGGTGGGGGGATAAAGGGGGATAATGAGGATAAAAAATGGGGGCAAAGTTTGGGAGATAACGGGGGAATAACGGGGGAAAATCCTCAATTTCGGGTGTTTTCTCCTCAATTTTTGTTGTTTTCTCCCCTTTTTTCGTGCCCCCTCCCCATTTATTTGAGTCCCCTCCCCATTTTTTGGGGTCCCTCCCCAATTTTGGGTTTTTTTCTCCTCAATTTCAGGCATTTTCTCCTCAATTTTTGTCATTTTCTCCCCATTTTTTCGGGCCCCCTCCCCGTTTTTCGGGGTCCCCTCCCCGTTTTTCGGGGTCCCCTCCCTGTTTTTCGGGGTCTCACCCACGACCCTGAGCTCGGCCTCGGCCTCGGCCGCGTCCAGCCGGGTCCAGGCGCGGCAGCGGAACCGGCCCTGGTCCCCGTAATCCACCCCGGCCACCGTCAGCGTGTCCCCGGCCACCGAGAACCTGCGGGGAGGGGGCGTCAGGGACCCCCAAATCCCCGCTGGGACCCCCCAGATCCGACCCAAACCCTTCCTGGGACCCCCAAACCCTCCCCAAAGCCCCCCCAGACGCCCCCCGGGCCCTGACTTGTCGCTCTCGGGGGTCTCCGGCACGGGGGTCCCGTCTCGCAGCCTCAGGAGACCCCTCAAACCCTTCCTGGGACCCCCAAACCCTCCCCAAACCCTTCCTGGGACCCCCAAACCCTCCCCAAACCCTTCCTGGGACCCCCAAACCCTCCCCAAACCCTTCCTGGGACCCCCAAAC